GCCTGGCATTTTACTACTCTAGTTTTTTCAAATACCAGCTGACTGACACAGCTGAGCCTACTCTTGCCAGTTGAGTTTGCTCTGACCACTTTCTTCTCAGGCAGGGAAAATTGAATTGGGTGGTCTTCCTGGATAGGTAGCTGGCACAGTTTACCTGGGCCCCTTGTGTTTGTTACCTTCACAGTTTTACACTTCCTTGCCTGTTTTGGAGGGAAGCATATTTATTTTCGTCGTTGTAGTTTCTTGACCTGAAGGGGTTGGTTATTTGATACACAGCTATTTAGAGCTAAGGAGGAGAAGAAGCCTTTATTACCAAGGCTGGGAAGTGTGGCACCAGCCTAGGCTTTGGAATTAAGCGAACAAAACTGGTACCAGTGACTCTCCTGGAGTTGAAACAGCTACTCTCTTACCAGTGTCTTAGCCTCCAAGAATCGGCAGGAAAAAGAAATGCTATATTCTGTATATGGTAATTTTCTCAACCAAAGGTTTATCCTCCCTTGGCCTTTATTATGAATTGGAATTTGCTTAAATGTCATTGACAAAAGTAAAGATGGGCAACATACAATTATGAGCTTATTAAAAATAACCCTTTGACAGGGCAGTGAAATGGCTGCCTGTTTAAAGTTGGCAGTATTTCTTAGGGTGTTTCATAAAAAGTAGCCTCAGTCTTGGCTGACTTTGGTCGGTACCTCTGAAGTTAATTCAGTTTCAGTTGCCCATTGAATATTATATGCTTGTGTTTCCACAGAAACAATTTTGTAAAATTTGATATTCAGAAAGAACCAGATGGAGATGTTATGGACAAGCAGGAATGTAGGATGCTTAAGTACATACTCATTTGAAATGAAATAAACAAATAGTGGAACTTGCTTCTTAACATGACTCATAATTCCCCAGCAACGTCTACATTATGAAAGTGTCTAGTAGTTTTCTTAAAAGAATGACTGTCTCTTGTTCATAAATCTATTCCTAAAAGTTGGTGACTTCGGTTTATCAAAACACAAATTGACATGTGTATTTTAATGAATGCAGATGCATAGAAATGAGTTCCTTCATTTAAATTTGTACCAGAACAATTTTGTCTCTATACTCAAAATATTTTGTGTGTGCTCTCTGTATAACTATATTAGAGTTCCCGAAGTGTGGTTTGTTTTATATAGGTATAATTTTTATTTCCCATAGGTCTTATTATCTTTGGGGATGTGAACAAGATGATTATGGATTATATAAATCACTTTTTAGGCATGGAGGGAGATTGGAAAGTGGGGCAGAATGGGAGGGAGAAGGAATGTGGTCATGTCACCTGTCTCTCCAGCTTGTAGACTGATGATAAGTCAGAGTTAACGTCTTGCTAAACTTTAGATTGCATCCTTGAGTATCCATGACATACTACTAAAAGGCATTTACACTGCTTAAATATGTCAGTGTTTTTTTCTGAGAATATGTTGTCTGAAAAGCAAAACTTTAGTCTTACAACAAAATAAGACAAGGATATCAGATAAGCAGGATAAAAGTTTTTACATGATGGTTTTTACTTTAATTTCATGGCATACATTCACTATTTGCCAGAAAAGATCGATCCTCTGTGCCTCTGGTCTGTTCAGGCTGGTTCCTTAATCTTCTGTAACTATGTATACCAGTGGATAAGCACAGGGATCACATCATATTTGTTCTTTGTGCTGGAGTCCCTATATTTCTATTCTTACTAATTAATGTAATCTTTGGTAAGACTTTAAACATATACCACTGAGGTGTATTATTTTCTAGAAGCAGTTTGACAACTGAAATATAATTATTATCTAATTACACAATTAATACCTAATTGAAATATAAATAATATAGATATAGCCGTTGATCTAGCAACCATACCTCTAGGATGACAAAATCACCAAAGTGTGTATGTACACGTATAAAAGGTTTATTGAGGCATAGTTTGGTAATGGTAAAAATTGGACACACCTCCATGTCTATCAATTGGAGATTACATAAATGAATAAATAAATAAATTTTGGAGCCAGTGCACCCAAAATTGACTGTGTTGGTTAGGAAGATGATGTAAATATACATGGAAATGTGTACAACACATATCATTAGATGAAAGGAAAGCAAATTATAGAACAGTTTATGTAAACAAAAAAGAAAGTGTCTGAATATATACTTTTATTTCCTGGTGTAAAATATGTCTGGAAGGACGTACAGACAATGATACTTTCAGAGGGTGGGACCAAGGGAACTGGAGGTGGAAAAGATAGGATTTGGGTCTTTACTTCTTCTTTTTTGTACTGTTTGAATTGTTTTAGCAGTAAATACATTTGTAAAATATGTAAAATTAGATGTAAACCACTGATAGACATTACAATGGGTACAGTAATAACAATGATGAGTGCTGATTTTTACTGAGGGTTTACAGTGGGCCAAGCATTATTGAATACTTGTGGCATAGGTACTAAATTTGATACTGTGGTAACACAAATCCTATCAGGTAGATCTATTGTAATTCTGTTTTATGGATAATGGATCTGAGGCACAGAGCACTGTGGTTATATGTCTAAGTCAATGTATTAGGAAAGAGTCAAAAGCATTGGGTATAGATATTGAATGAATATTGCCATTTAAAAATGACCTCTCCTCTGTGACCTAGGAGGCTAAACGCTGTGACTTGTTAGTTTTGTGAGCAGGTTGGAAAGGGAAGGTGGATCTTTTACCCCATGACTTCTGCGATGGTTCTTAGGAGTTTAATTCAAGGAGAAAATGGGCTATTTGATAAATTCCAAGAACGTCTGTTTGAGGGAGTCATTTCCAGGAGGGGAAAAATCAGCTATGCTTTGGAATTTTTTGTAGATATTTCAAAACAGAGAGGTATTATATGAGTCATTTCTCATAAGAACTGGCCTATTATAGTAAAAAGAATCCTTCCCTTATTTTCCAAGATTATTGGTGGATTGAGAGATTCTAATAAATGATTCTCTCTTGCAGTAGTTATCCAAGTACAGAAATGAGAAAAATAGTTTCTAGGCCAGGGCTTTGAATGCATTTAAGAATTATGATCCTTCATTCAACAGGTATTTATTGTGTATGTCAGAAATGTACAATTAACATGTTTTTACAACCAAATTCAAATTTCTCTGACCCTCAAAATTCTCCATAATGTCTTCCCTTTTTACCTGTTAACCTTTTCACTCACTGTTCTCCAATAAACTCTCTACATCATCTGACCTATTCAGGCTGGCTGCTTAATCATTGCCCTGTAACTGCCTTTGCCAGGCGATGAACTGCTTAAGCACAGGGATCATCTGTTTGTTCCTAGTGTTCCTGATATCGATAACAATGCCTCTAACATTAGAGACTTATGTTGTTGAATAAATGAACAAAAATTAATGCATTAATTTTTGTCTCCATGTTCTTGTACATACACATTTCCACATGTACATTTTTGCCTTCCTTTATTTCCTCAACCTTTGCAAAACCTTTATACTAGAGTCACTGTACTTAGGAAAGACCCTCAGTCAGTATCACCGACTTTCTGGCTCAGATGTAGCAGGTCCCCACTGCCTCCTGTACCAAGTCTGGAATCCTTTCAAGGTAGGGACATTGTGCTTCCTGGTACATCCCAGTGTTATGTCTTACTAGGCTATTTTTCAGACTACCTCATCACATAGTTAAATACTACCTTCTCTGTGCTGCAGGGTGGGACCATCTTTCTGTTAGACACAAGAGTTAAGAACATGGCGTTTGGATGACCTGAATTCAAATCCTGATTCTTTCACTTTCTAGCCATGTTAAAATTTAGTAAAGTCACTTTTTTCCCTCATTTTTTCTCCCAGATTGTTTTGAGACATAATTGACATACAATATTATATAAATTTCTGTGCAACATTTGACACGTGTACATGTTGCAAAATGTTTGATAGTAAGGTTAGTTAACACATCCATCACCTCACATAATTATCTTTTTTTTTTTGTGGTAAGAACATATAAGATGTACTCTCTTAGCAACTTTCAAGTATACGATACAGTATTGTTAACTATAGTCACCATTCTATACGTTAGATCCCAAGAGCTCATTCACTTTATAACTGAGAGGTTTTACCCCTTGACAAATCTTCCCACTTTCCCTACCCCTCAGCCTCTGGTAACTGTCAATCTACTGTCTTTATGAATTTGACACGTAAGTGATATGTCTGTGCATCTATATCTGTCTATATATCTTACATTTTCTTTATCCATTTATTCATCAGTGGACAGTGGACACTTAGATTGTTTCCATGTCTTAGCTATTGTAAATAATGCTGCAGTGAACATAGGTGTGCAGGTATCTCTTTGAGACGATTTTATTTCCTTTGAGTATTTATCCAGAAGTGAAACTGCCAGATCATATGGTGGTTAAATTTGTTAGTCTCTGAGCTTCAGTTTCCTCCTTTAGAAAGAAAGAAATAGAAACCTATGTCTTAGAATGTTGTGAGGATTGAATAACCTATTAAAGTGCTTAACATGTACGCCTGACATATTGTAAGCACTCAGTAGGTGTTAGCTTATGATTGGGTTGCTTATATTTTGCCTGACTTGTGATGATGAGGTCAGGACTGTTCCTGGACCACACAAATACAGTTGCTGTTAACAAATAGTTCCTGTTAACAGATTATTAGTAACGGATGGGTTATTAGTAATAATGGATGATAACATAATGCTTGAGAGTGTGAGGGAGATGACTGAAATCCATTGAGTGATTGTGTAGAGGCTAATTCTTTTTTGCTTCTTAGTAGGTCTGCTTATTTATTAAACAAATAGTTATTGACTGCTTACCATATGCCTGGCACCTTTCTAGGTCCTGGTGATGCAGCAGGAATCCAAACAGAAGAAAATACCTGCCTTCATGGAGGAAACATTTTAGTCATTAAGTAAAATATAAGTATCTGAAAAATTGTGCTGAACACTGGAATTTGACACAACACTGTAAAATGATTATGAATCAATAAAAAATGTTAAAAAAAAAAGTATGTGAGATGGTAATAAGGGCTGTGGAAAAAAATGAAGCAAGAGCAGGGGCCTCAGTGTGTGTATATAGGTGTGGGTGTAGGTATGTGTGTCTGTCAAGGTGTGTGGGTTGCAATTTTAAACAGGATGGTTGGGAAAGACCCCACTCATACGGCACATTTACGAAAAGTTCTGAAGGAGGTAAGGGAACAGCCACATATATGCCTGTGGGAAGAGTTTTCTAAGCAGAGGAATCAGAAAGTTCAGGGGTTTTGATTCAGTAGCATACCTGGTATGTTCAAGCGAGCAGGCCAATGTGTTGGGGGCTGGAGAGAGAGTAATAGGAGATGAGGTAAAGTTGTGTGTATGTATTGGGTGAGGGGGCACAGCTCATGCAGAACACTGTAGATCATGACAAGATCTGTGTCTTTTATGCTGAGTTGGGGAATTTTTTTGAAGGTTTTGTGTGCAGGAGTAATATTATCTGACTTAAGGATCACTCTGGCTGTTGTGTTGAATATAGATTGAAGGGATTAAGAGCCCAAGCAGGGAGACACATTGGAGGCTGTTACAGTGTTCAAGTGAGACATAATGTTGGCTTGGACTGGAGTAATTGTGGTGGCTGGATTCTGGTTGTATTTTGAAAGCAGAGCCAATGAGGGCTGCTGACAATTGGATATAAGATATCAGGGAGAGAGAGGTCATGGTTAAGACTTTCGGCTGAGTAACTTAGAAGGAGTTGTTATGTATTGAGGTGGAGAAAACTGAAGGAACAGTAGGTTTGGAGGGAGAGAACAAAAGCTAAGTATGGACACTTCAGACGGGTGTGCTTTTAGATACTAAGATCGAGATAGAGAGCTGACCCTTAGATACGGTCTGGAATTCAGGGGTTGGAGATAAAAATTTGTATTTGTCAACCTGTAGATAGTATTTGAAATGTTGAGATTGGATAGTGAATGATTGGCAAGTTCCTCCTGACCTTCCCACACCTTTTTTTTTTTTAATTTAGTTTGTGTATCTTTATTTTACTCATTCTTCTTACTCATCTTCCCATCCCACAAAGTTCAAAATGGTAGCAGTGTTGACAGTTATCATCCACCTTGAGGAATGTGAAGGAGCACTCTACTTCTCTTTTCTCATTTTGAGATGTAATTAGAATAATTATTCAGTTCAGTAAGATGAAGGAATCTTCTTGATGACTCTCCAGTTGTGATCAGATCATGTTCTAAATAGAAAATTGGAAACTTATTTTCATGTTCCTTTGTTAGCCGTATTTATTTTGCATCAGCTGTGTGCTAATCAAGGTCTACTGCTCTATGAATCAGTTTATAAACATGTGTAGAACACTGTGTACCTTTGCTGTGGGTGATATAAGAGAAGTGTTGCTAAAGTTTCTGGCTTCAAGACACTTGCTGATCATTTGAGAGCCTGAACTCACACAGGTAAACCAATTAGAGTACAAGGTCAGACAGCATTTAATTGTGCCTTAGGTTGTGTAGTTTAGCAGTAACAGGAAAAGTTTATTTAAATTAACCTTTTGATATTTTTGACAATATTCTGATAAATTGCTTTCTTTTCATCATACATGATAGAATGGAGCACTGGGAAAGGTGGAGGGCACAGCAGAGGGTTCCTCCTGTCTGTCTGGCATCCTACAGGTGTTGGTGATGCCCTTGAGAAGTATTAGAGTCAAAGCCGCTTGTTCCTTCTCACTAAGGTTAATGAGCATGTGACCCACATTCCCAAGTAAGAGCCTCCTGTAAACCCAGAAGTTGACTTTTTCCTTTATAGAAACATCTGCTTTTTGAGAAATAGATCAATCATTTTTAATTTTTTTTTTAAGTAGGTTGCCTGTTGCATCTTATTCTTGACTATTAACTTCCCCAAATAAAAACACATAGGTGGCACTGGGAGAACAGCTTCATTGCAAGAACTGAGAGTATTAGTGAGAGCTTGTATTAGTGCTTCATTAATAAATCAGCAGTGGGTAAGAAACTAGATCTTCCTTTTCCTGAAGACTTTAATGTGTCTCATGCTCCATTGGTCTAGGGGTCAGGAAACTCCTAAAGTTGGAGGTCAGATGATATCACATTGTATTTCCATTCTCTGGACAGATTGGCTAATTCTTACCCCTTGATTAATCCATCTGCCCCCAGAAAAACTAGCTGATGTGGATAATGAACGAGTCTTTTATTTTCATACAAGGTTTTTAAAGACTAACAAACAGAAGAGATTTGTATATAGAAGGGGAGAGTTTACGCTTTTGCTTGGTAACGCTACTCTAGCATGAATAAGTGAGGGAGAGTGGATACATTAAAACTCATTTTCATTTAGCCTTGGAAAGCTTAGTAGAATGGTTTTTATAACAGATAATATCTTCTTATTTGGGTTCATTTTAGTAGATTTTTAAATTAAAAAATATTAGGTAGTGTAAGAAAGTCTAAAGTGTTTAGACAACCCCTCAAAAGCATTAATGTAGACAAGTGAAAACATTTTTATTGATATTGTTTTATTTTTTTACGTGTATTTGTTTAGAGCTATATCTGACCTCAGAATTCATGGATATACTTTTAAATTCCTAGGTCTTGAGAAAAAATTTCAAATAGAACTCAGTAGCCTTTCAAAAATAGAGTATTTCCATCCTAGTTGGAATGCAAGGAATATGAATAACAAATAGACCCAAGGAGAAGGGAAATAGGACATTAATTCCTTTCCTTCTGCTCTGCCACTTGCTACCTTTGCCCGATCTTTCCATTTTTCTCTGTAAGGATCAGAAGAGTGTTTGAGTCTTAGGAAATGAGTAGCTGATTTTTAGCAAAGGCTTAATTGAAGCTACCAATAGAAGACAGTATTTTATTGGGTCACCTCCAAATACCTTACACCAATAAAATCTCAAAAAATCTGTTAGCTAGTTTGGCTCAATTCCAAAATGTTAAGTCTTTTTTTGGCTTTCTTGACTTCCAGGATGGTCTCCTAGGAATTTCTTATGGAAGCTTTGGAGCCCATAAACTTAACAAATGTTCCTTCTGACAACATAATGAAACCATACTGGGAAGGACTGCTACCTGGGGAGATTATATATTTAGGATTGGTTTTCTTATCCTGACCCCTTACTCAGAATTATTCCTTGCCCAACATTCTTTTCTGTGCATGGTATCTGTCAGAAAGGTTAGCTCAGTACCAGTTTACAGCCAGCTGCTGCAGACTGGTTATATTTATTTTTCACATCTCCTGTGGGTCAGAGGGAGTATAAATGATTTCCTGTGGGCTCCTGTCTAAATAAGGAAGTAAAAGCTTTCATGAACTCTGTGCTTTATGAAAACCATTATAAGCTATTCTGTAAATTACATTAATAAAACTTGAAAATAAGATTCATTTTAAATGATAGTCAATGAGATAATATCCCTAAGAATAATGTAAAATTCATACACTCATATTCAAGGAATGTGTATACAGAAATGTTTTGTGCATGTATATTATCTATAAATAGTGCAAAAGTAGATAACTATATGTAAATCAGCAAAATTTAATGGTACTCAAGAAGTTCACGAACTGAAGGTTTTAGACATAGACTTTATTTAGTGAATGATACTATCAAATTGATATTACTACTTTTTTGAAGTATATTTTATCAGAAGGACTGAGGATACATATTTTCATCCTCTTCAGATAGAGTTGAATTGGTGTTTTGATGTATGAATGGAAGAAATGTGGTCAATAGAATGCTTGTGCAGGGACAAGGCACCTGGAATTCATGAAGAACTTTGAGTGCTAGAGATCATCTTTTCTTAGAGAACCAGAAGTTGAAGGTTGAGATACTTAGTAAGGACTCTTAAATAATTCAGTGAGTTCTTCTTCAGCATTTTAAGTCTTGCTTATGTAATTATTTCATGGCTGACTTTATTCTTCTCATGTATTGCTATTTTTTTTTGTCCTTTTCTCAGGAGTAGGAAGAAAATTTCATTAAATGTGGAACAGAGTTACATTCGTTGGTCATGCTTCACAGAAGAATAGTGTAATTTGGCCATTTTCCCTCATTACCCATTTAAGCAGTGTGGCAAACATAATTGGGTTTTCTTCTGCCATTCAAGAACATTTATACTCTTTAAAGTTGTAGATGCAGCCATTGAATAGCTGTAGCCCGGGAAAGTCTACTCATTCTGACGGCATTGCCTTTACTCCCACCATCAAACTATGTACTTCTTTCCATCCAATTTTCCAATATAGGCAGCATAATTAGCTTTAATCTTATAAAAAGTATGTGCCTTCACGTTCTAAACTATTGGTAGAACAGGTATGGTGCCACAGTCTAGGAATCTATGCAGAGCAGGTAGGATTTTCAGTCTTCTGGTTTTTGAAAGTGTTGTGATGGATAATCTTTGTCCTTTTTAATTCTAATGGAGAGTGTCCCATTTCTTAAATCTTTTTTTTTAAGTGACAGTAACGATGGTGAATTGCCTTAACACATTTGCATTGTTGTGGATACAGAGCACTCTGTACTAAGGAGCATCTCGTGTTGTATATCCTGAGACAATCATGAATTTTAATTACTCTGTACTGATAATAATAACTTCTTTAGTGCCATAAAATATTCTTAGTGTTTAAGGGTTTTGAGTCTCAGAGCATTCACAAACAATCTCTTCTATATTTCCCTGTGTGATTTATTACCAGTATCAATGGAGAAGTATTCAGAGAGAGAAACTGGCCCAAGACAATAGGGAAACTAATATCATACACAGAATTGCAGTTAATGAATTTCATTCCTAAGGTAGCTTAGTACAATACACAGTGTTCAGTGAAATCAGTGAATGTGTATTGAATAAATAAATTCAAATTAAAGCCTGCCTAGGACAGATCTGAAAGTTTGTTCAACATTAGTGAGAAAACATTAGACATTTTAAAGTGGAGAAGAGGTCTAACCATCATCAGACATGGCAGAAGGATAAGGCAGTTGCTGGGAAATGCCTAATAATGTGGAAATCATTCAGTAGACATTTTGAAAAGTAAAACTTTGGTTATTTTTTAAATGAACATAATATAATAATATTTCCAATTAATTTATTGCCTCGGTTTTAACAAGGTAATAATTCATTGGAGAATTATATAAGACCATTGAATAGCACAGGCACAGATCTGCCCAGGAGAACCTTCATTCCCACAACTGGGAGCTCACTTTTCTTTGTCTCATACATCACTCCTTACTGATTCCAGCAGCTAAGGAATGAATGCCTCAGTCCTGAAGAGAGGTACCACAGTATTTGTCACACCACGGGAAAGTACTCCATAGTAGTGGTTCAGCTTATTTTTCAAAACAGTTTACATTTATGTTTTTAAATACAGTTGACCCTTGAACAAGGTAGTGGGGTTAGGGTGGCGACCCTCTGTGTACAGTCAAAAATCCAAGTATAACCAACAGATGGCCCTCAGTATCTGCAGTTCCTCTATATCCATGGTTCTGCATCCATGGATTCAACCAGCTGTGGATCCTGTAGGACTGTAGTATTTATTGAAAAAAAAAGTCTGCATGTAAGTGGATTCAAACTCCTGTTATTCAGGGGTCAACTGTACTTAGTAAAAATTGAGATAAGAACAGACCCAGTTGCACAGACACATGTAAAATTATGTGTGTGCATAAAATTCTCTCATTAACATATATGTGTATTCTTGTGAGTTTTGAGGACAGAACTTGGAATGCAGGGAATTCAGCAGCACATAGCTTTGTTTTGGTTCAAGGTGAGGCGGAAGGAGGATAGGAAAAATGGGAGGAATGGAGGAAGAGTCTCCTGTCTTCTTCCCACTCTTCTTCTCTTTTGTTCTGCTTTATTCCTTTAACTCTTTTTTTTTCCCCAAACATACTCATCCTGGTCTTTGTATGTTAACCTGTTTTTGCTCTTTTTTCCTCCATGGTCACTTTTTGGTATAGGACCAAAAGGGACTGAAACAGACAGGGTTATAAATCCAGACAAGAAGCAGTGATGATGTGGCATAGGGCAGTGGAAGTTGGGAGGCAAAGATGAGATGAATTGGAGATGAATCTGACATTACAGGGTCAGAGAGTTGATGATTGTGTGACTGAATACACAGATGAAGGAAAGCAAGGAGCGGAGAGGATAAAGCAAGTTCAGGCAGCAGGAACCAGAAGAAGATGGGTTCCAGTCTGTGAAGGATGTCTCTGAAGCACCTCATAGGACAGCCCTAGGAAGATGGACCCCTGGCATCTAGAGATGTTTGGAAATCAGGATAGAGGTTGTGCTAGAGACACAAATTTTAGAAACGTCTACATGGATAAGAATTGTATAAATAGATGGTTTACTATGCTATTTCTGATGTCAAGTGCATGTAACAGAAACCATGTCATTTAACTGGCAAATGACGGAAGGATATTTTATTTTCAAATACTTAAAGACTGGGCATGGTTAGAAAGAAGAATGCCTCCTCCCTCACTCAGGGCATCTAAGCTCTTTTGAATATGGTTGTTTTCAGGATGAAGTTCTGGGAACAAACAGACCTCCTCCTGAAGGGCACAGGTTTGGCAGATACATAATGTAAAGGAGAAATCCACTTAGTTTGCCTCATGCTGCTTTTGGATGGCAAGATTCTTGGATCTCTTTGCAATAGACGTAGTTTTGATAGCTAATGTTGGACTGCAGAGTCTTCTGGAAGGCTTGTTAGCAACTAAAGAAAAAAGTCATTACTTAGTAATTAAGAAATTGTTTTTCCTTTGCTGAGCCTGATCTACCTAATAGTGGTTTCGTTTGATAAGGTGTGAATGTCTATTTAATTGAAAGAACTTTTTTTTCCTGTGCGTATGTATGTTTCAATTTTTAAATGTAGGTGTTATTCTGTCATAGTGCTTTAGCAGTTTCAGTTTATATATTATTTTGTAACAAAGAATTATCTGAAAATTACAATGTTTATGTGAGATTCTCTGTGATGATTGAACCAAGAAAGGATGTAGGGAACAGGCAGAGTGCCTGATGATTTAGTATTTCATGTTAAGAAGTAAAGGAAGAATAAAAATGCCTCATTTATATTTGGTTGTCTTTATGTTACTGCCAGGAACAGTCAGAAACTACCCATTTTCAGTGGTGGGTGGATGTCTAAGGAATTCTTAAGTTTCTTATTTCTTATAAAGCATATGCCAGATAAAAAGCTTCAGATACTGAAGATCTCCTTGTTTAGCTGCAAGACAAACTCAGTGCCTACTTGTACAGACAGTTTTATTAGCCTTTGTCTGACATTGTTGTTAATCCTAAATGCCCATTGGACCATTTCAGTCCCTGATGCTCCTGATAAAGAGGCTGACAGCTTTTTAGGCTATCTGTGTTTTCATCCCAGTTGCTTAAACCTTTTGAATTAGAGTTGATTGATGACCTGGCTTTCCCTTAAGAAGATGGTTTGTGACCACAGGCCACATAAAATGACATGTAAGGCCAGTTGATGTTTATTCAGTCAATAAATATTTAGACATGACCCATTTGTGTGGACATGGTACTGCTAGAGGTTTTGTTGCTGTTGATCACAGCTAAGCAGTGATTTGTAACAGATTACCTGGGAACATATGCAGTGGTTACTGCATGCTCTAAAATATGTTTTCCTCCCCTTCAATAGCACATGTCTGAAAGTCTACCATAAGGACTGATGAGCTTATTTCCCTCAAAGAGGGAAGGGGGAAAAATAGGGAAGGATTGTTAATAATTTCCTGTGCTCAGTTTAGGAAAGGTCACAATAGATACAGATTCAAAGAAAAGGATACGAGGGCTCCTGGCTAGTTCCCAG